CAATACTTTTTGCTGAATGCGGAACTTTTCAGGAATGTATCTACAGCATTAAATGAGGAATTACCATAATGTGCAGGTAATCCTTCAGCAATGGGATGCTTTCCCCCAATATTAGTTTACACTGTGTGTGTGTATTTTAAGCTTTAGGGAGGAAAAATCTGAGAACCCAGAAGGAACTGATGCAGAACAGGGGTAGAACATGCAAACTCCATACAGGAGGGCACCCGAATCAGGAGTCGAACCCAGGCCCCCCTTCTCACTTTGATGCACAAGTGTCACCACTGCATCGCACGGCTGCCCGTGGCAACGAACTTAACAACAACATCGGGCTCGTGACGGGGCGGCTCTGAAGTCTTACCTCGATGGTGACACCAGGATCTTAATGGCCACCAGGTTGTTCCTTTTGTGATCAAGGCACTGGATCACCTGGCCTTGACCTCCTTTTCCAATCTTCTTCAGCACCTCATAGCGGTAGTGGAGGTGCTCATGCTGGAACTGCACAAAAGGTACAATAATTTAAAGTGAATATAATTCAAATCACAAAGTTTAAGAAGTGAGAATGTATATTATTTGGGTCTTTTGGTAAAGTTACGTAGATAGATTCAAAGAAAATAACAAAAACTAAAACAAATCAAAGGGCTGCCAGGTGAAAATTAGCATGTCAATGAGAGATTAGCATGTTAATGAGAGATTAGATTAGAGATGAGCATGTTAATTGAAGATTGCAGAGCCGCAACCGAGGGGTTGGCGCGCGAAGTGGCTGTGTTCCTGTGAATCCTGTGAAAGCGCAAGTTCGAAATGGGCATAAAGCACAACTAACATCAGAAGGTGGTAGGATGGGAAGATCATAGCCAGTTATGACTTAAACTGGTTGATAACATCATTCCAATGATTGCTCAGTTTGTATCCATCTCGGTTGAAATTGTGTCTGTGTCTATATACTGTATATGGATGGCTTCATGAACGAATCTTTGTTGATAGCCAGTGGGCTTGCAAAATACCTTCGTATTGGAGAAATACATTTTGTGTGAGCCCACCGCATTAAAACAATGATCAGCCACGGCCGAGGAATCGGTCCATTCCGTGTTTCAGATCCTACCGAGTTGGCTGCCCACCACTTGAATTAATATTGGCTGCTGACATTTGGGCTACGCCCAATTCAAACCCTTATAAACAGTTTGCCTTGGGAAGCTAACCCCCCTTTTCCTGAAGACGACCACTTGTGTTGCGATCGAAACGTCATAGTTTTTGTTTTTGTTCTTTTCTTTGAACCTATATACGTGACTTTACCGAAAGACCCAAAGAATATGAATTCCTGCAGTCACGAAAGCTTTAATTCAAGATTTAAGTGAGAATGTAATTTTCAAAAGTATTCTCTGTAATTATTACGGGTTTTTTTACCTGTCATTATGGGATATTCTAATGTCTGCTGGCTCAGTCACCCTTGAAAAAAGAGCTTCTTAGCTCAATGGGCTTTACTCGGGATTAAAAATTCTGATTCTGAAGTGCATTGGTGTGTGTGTGTGTAATAGCCCTGGTCGGTACTTCAGGTGCAATAACAAGAAGCCACAAACCCCGTTACCGATGGGCCCTGTGACCGCCCCCACAGTTGGTGTTTTGTGGCGAGCCTCACCAGAATGTAATTTCGTTTGTAGTCGTCGTATCCACCATTGTTGCATCCCTCAGATTTGTTGTAGAGTGCAAAGTACCACACTTCCTGCATGGCTGCGAGTTCCAGCTTCTCACGGTTGGTCAAGTGAGGGCCAAAGAGAGCCATGATTTCTGCAGACATGAGAATAACAACAACAGCTGTGTGATCCCAAATTTGAGCAATTTGTAGGAAAATATTTCAGGATTGGGATGTTTTGGCCAATACCGTTATGTCTGTATGTATGTTGAACTTCTTTTGCACCGTACGTAGCCAATGGTGGCAAATGGATACTCGGGGGAAGGACAATAAACTACACATGAAAAGACGTTCTAAAGAAAGTAGTTTTCAATCTAGATGATTTAAAAGTGAACAGCTACAGTGGCTTCCTAATATCGGAAGCGCATCTGAAAGCGTGTGATGTGCTGAGGCCAGAGCACACATAATTATCCCCATGCAACATGGCCACCATGATGCAGTCCCCCATGCAACATGGTTACCATTAAGTCCCCAATGCAACACGGCCAGCATGACGTCCCCCATGCAACTTGGCCACCTGGATATCACCCATGCATCATGGCCGCTATGAAATCTCCACTGCATCATGGCCACTGTGACATCCACCATACAACATGGCCATCGTGATGTTACAGCATTCACCATGGCCCTCTGTGACGTCCCTCATTACCTGTTCTTACCTTGCGGTGATTTGCTGCAAGGCGGAGGCGGTGCCCTCTGGGGACAGCGCACTCCACGTGGTGCAAGATTCGCCCTTACTCCTCGCCTCTCCAGCTCGGCTCATCTACACGCACACAAAGACAAAGGTCCATCCACGTAAGCTTTAGCAAAGATGTTGGGGAAAGCGCAGGAGGCGAGCACTGAGCCAGGATCTCTGAGATCCTGGGCTCCAGCAATCAGGAGGGTCCTGCCAAGATGTTGTCAGTTCTCAGCGTTGGGATATTTGGCCGATATCTGATGTCACATTTGGATTTACAATGAGACACATGTGGATTTAGAGGACACACGCAGGTGAACGGCATCCTTCAAACTGTTAAGAGAAGTGCGGCTGGGCCAGGAAATGCCACGGCCAGGAGGAACAACGATGGCCGATGGTCAAGAACAATAACGGAGCTGCAGCCAAGTATCGGAGCATGTCTGAGAGGACAGCAGAAAGATGGAGCGACAAAATCGGTGCCTGGTGGATTATTCAATCGCAGGATCATGAGGGGTGGTAGCAGGGTCTCAGGGAAGGAGGCCTTCATCCAGTAGTGGATAGATAAAAGTACTGTAGATTATTCACGTGTAGACAGGCAGGTACACAGGATCTCGGGGGAGATACTCTGATAGATGCACACACACTCAGGCAGGCAAGCAGATGCACACTCAGGTATATGGATAGGTGACTGGTAGCCACATGCAAAGTGGAGAGCACACGTCCATCCATACTTCACCACACGAGTGGAGGAGCCACATGTACCTCCATGGTGGCAACTTGCAGAGCAGGGTGCACAGAACTCACAGCGTCTCTCGCACAGTCCGGGTCTCTGCATGCGGAGCAGGAGACGAAGGCGAGGATCACAAAGAGTCGAGGGGGCGTGACGGCACCCAGATCTCAACACGAGTCAAGTCACAACGCGGACTCACATCCTCACCATGAACCCACATCATCAACGCAGACTCACATCATCACCACTTACTCACAACACGAAACACAAAAACAACAACCGACATTCGCCACAAAGTAGCGGTGATGTCACCACAGCGCCTGTGCCGGGCCAGGTGCACTTTTAGGCCACGTCAAGTGCCGAAGGCTGTCAAGACGTCACGGGATAGACCCAGGTTCCAAAGGTTGGCTGAGATGACTGGTAGATACACCAGCTGTATCCCAAACTGTGCCAACTTGCTGAATTTTATCCGCCACTCGTTGTGAGCGTCACTCCTCTGCCCTCAGTTGTTGTTGGAGGGCGACTGCCTCCAACTGCCCAGTAGCATCCTTCACGAGCTTCCTCATGAAGGATGCTATTTACACCGCTGATACCACTCTTCTGCAAGTTCACTCAGCTCCATATCCTTCCAGACAGCATCAGTCCATATTTTCGACAGCCCATGTCATGCCCGTTTAGCCCCCTTTATGCGGCCAAGAAAAACTGCTTGGATATTCGGGCTACAAGACCCAACCAACGCAGCCTTGCTTGCCGGAGGAGCTTACTGGTGGAAATGTGTCCAGATCTTTCAAGGATTTGTGTGCCCCTCACACAATCCAGCCTGTTTAAAGCCATGATGGATCGTAAGAACCACCACTAACACCACGAACAACACCACCACCACCAACACCAGCACCACCACCAACAAGAATAGCACCACCATCAACACCATCACCAAAACCATCACTAACACCACCAACAATAGCAACACCACCCCCATCAACAACACCACCCCAATCAACACCACCTCCATCAACACCACCCCCATCAACACCAACAACACCACCATCAACAACACCACCACCTACTCGACTACCAACACCACCAACAACACCAACACGACCACCAAAACCACCAACACCACCAGCACCATCAACACCCCCACTAACACAACCACCAACAACACCACAATCAACACCACCAACACCACAAACACCACCACCAACACGACCACCAAAACCAACACCAACAACACCACCACCATCAACACCACCAACAACACCACTAGCAACAAAGATAAAGATCCCCCTTATAGATGAAATAGACTGTTGGGGCAAGTGCTGTTAGCCAGCATTACCTATGAAGGCCAGAACGGCACACGAGGGCGTGGGTGGCCAACACAACGCCCGGCCGCCTTTGTCTCCCTAGTGGCGACGTTTACACACCACACGAGGTACTCATTTGAGGCTGAGTCGACCTAGGGGAGGCCCAGGGCCGGTTCAGATAATCGTCACCGGTGTTGGCCTTGAGCGGGAATCCAACTCGGGGTCACCGGGTTCATAGCGCGGCGCGTTAACCACTACACACACACAGACTCACACACACAGACTCACAGACACACACACACAGACACACACAGACTCACACACACAGACTCACACACACACATAGACTCACACACACACAGACTCACACACAGACTCACACACACACACAGACTCACACCACCACACCGCTCCTCACCTTCGCCAGATGCTCTCCCCGCCTCTCCAACGGACAAACTGCCAGGGGGAAGCGCGTGGCGCGAGACGAGGGGGCGGTACCATGTCACCACGCCCACCGTGACGTAACAGCCCTGAGCCCCTCCCCCCACCGGAGCTCCTCCCCCCCCATGGCCACACCCCTCGCCCCACCCCTTCACCCCCGTCGCTCCGCCCCCTCCCGCCCTCCCCCCGCTGCTTCTTCCGCTGAGGCCGGGGCGAGTGGAGGCGGCGCTGTGCATTGTGGGTGGCGAGCGGCCGATTTGGATTCCCGCTCACGGCCACCGTCGGTGGCTCGCGAGCTTCTGAAGCGGCGGCTCGCTGGCTGGGCCACCTCTACGTCGACTCAGCCCGAAGAAGGCGAGAAGCTTGCTCGGTGTGGACACAGCAGCAGTGGCGGTGGTGCGGGGGTGGGAGGCAGAGGAGGCGCCTGGCCCACAGCCGTCACGCGCTAGGCGCCTGCTGAGTTCACGGCCCTGCTGCTGCTGATGATGAGGAGGAGAGGCACTGCCAGATTGCGGCTGATGGGATGAGTTAAATTTAGTTTTTTTGTATCTCTGGAGGGACGGATTTGTTGTCGTAGCAGAAATCGTCTCCACTAGAGGCCGCGATGTGGAGTATTTCGTCTCCTCTTTCACGCTGGGCGTAGCCACACTTTACCCCTCCACACGCGGGCCGTGAGCTCACTGGACTTGCAATGCAGAGGTGCAGGTTCGAGTCCATTTCACACTCAGCCACCCACTCACTCAGCCACCCACTCACCCACCCACTCAGCCACCCACTCAGCCACCCACTCACTCACCCACTCACTCAGCCACCCACTCACTCACCCACCCACTCATCAACTCACTCACCCACCCACTCAGCCACTCACTCACCCACTCATCAATTCACCCACCCACAGAGGGATAAAGACCCCTCATGCAGTGGTTGTGTAGTATCTGCGTCAATATTTTTGTTGTTTGGTTATGGTGGTGGTCGTGGTGGTGGTTGTGGTTATGATGGTAGTTGTGGTGGTTGTTGTGGTGGTTGTTGTGGTGGTTGTGATTATAATTGTGGCTTTAGTTTTGGTTGTATAGGTGGTTGTAGTGATGGTTGATGTTACAGTTGTGGTGTAGGTGGTTATGTTGGTTGTTATGGTAATTGTTGCTCTGGTTGTGGTGCTTGTGGTGGTTTTGGTTGTGGTTATAATTGTGGTTGTGTAGGTTGTGGTTATATGTGCGGTTGTGGTGTTCGTGGTTATATTTGTTATAATCGTGTAGGTTGTGGTTGTAATGGTCATAGTTGTGGTGTAGGTTGTTATGATGGTTGTTATGGTAGTTGTATGTATTTTGAACTTCTATCGCACCCTACCCAGCCAACCGTGCTAATTGGAGGTGTGGTTATAGTTGTGGTTATTTTATGGTTGTTTTGGTTATAGTTGTGGTGATTGTGGTTGGTGCAGGTGCTGGGATGAAGGATGCGTTCTGGGTCCTCTGCCCATGCGGCTCCAACAGCAATGGCTCCAGCCTGCACTGCCGCCCCTGTGTCGCGTTGGTCACATGACCTTGCCTCTCAGCATACCTTGCAGTCGTCGTTGATTCTGGATCATCTTTACCTCCTGCATCTCTAGAGGAGCTCTCGCTTCCTGCACGCACTCTCCTCCTACCTCTGCTCTCTCTCCCCGTGTCTCCCTCCTCTCTCTCCCCGTGTCTCCATCCCCCTCTTATTTCTGGGTGGTCCAGGTTCCGGGATCAGGAGTTTACTGGCTGCACTCCAACATTTGACCTTGGCTGTCACTCGAGTGGATTTGTCGCACAGCAGTCAACCCATGGCACCTGGGTCTGTCCTGTGACCTGCTGCACCTAGCATGGCACAGCAGGTTATGGTGGTGGTCGTGGTGGTGGTCGTGGTGGTGGTGGTGGTGGTTGTGGTGGTGGTTGTGGTGGTGGTTGTTGTGGTGGTGGTTGTTGTGGTGGTGGTGGTTGTGATTATAATTGTGGCTTTAGTTTTGGTTGTATAGGTGGTTGTAGTGGTGGTTGAGGTTACAGTTGTGGTGTAGGTGGTTATGTTGGTTGTTAGGGTAATTGTGGCTCTGGTTGTGCTTGTGGTGGTTTTGGTTGTGGTTATAATTGTGGTTGTGTAGGTTGTGGTTATATGTGCGGTTGTGGTGTTTGTAGTTATATTTGTTATAATTGTGTAGGTGGTGGTTGTAATGGTCATAGTTGTGGTGTAGGTGGTTTTAATGGTTGTTATGGTAGTTGTATGTATTTTTAACTTATATCGCACCCTACCCAGCCAACCGTGCTAATTGGAGGTGTGGTTTTAGTTGTGGTTATTTTATGGTTGTTTTGGTTATAGTTGTGGTGGTGATTGTGGTTGGTGCAGGTGCTGGGATGAAGGATGCGTTCTGGGTCCTCTTGCCGTGCTGGCTCCAACAGCGATGGCTCCAGCCAGCACTGCCGCCCCTGTGTCAGCGTTGGTCACATGACCTTGCCTTCCCAGCATACCTTGCAGTCAGTCGTTGATTCTGGGCCATCTTTACCTCCTGCATCTCTAGAGGAGCTCTCGCTTTCCTCCACGCGCTCTCCTCCTACCTCTGCTCTCTCTCTCCGTGTCTCCCTCCTCTTTCTCCGCGTGTCTCCATCCCCTCTTATTTATGGGTGGTCCAGGTTCAGGGGTCAGGAGTTTACTGGCTGCACTCCAACCTTTGACCTTGGCTGTCACTCTAGTGGATTTGTCGCACAGCAGTCAAACCATAGCATCAGGATCTGTCCCCTGACCTCCTCCTGTGCCTAGCCTGGAACAGCAGTCAACCTGTGGCACCAGGATCTGTCCTGTGACCTCCTCCTGCATCTAGCCTGGTACAGCAGTCAACCCATGGCACCTGGGTCTGTCCCATGTACTCCTGCTCCTGCATCTAGTCTGGCACAGCAGTAAACCCATGGCACCTGGTTTGTTGTGATGATATTACCGCCACGTAGTGGCGAATGGTGGCCATTGTCGTTGTGAGTTGGTGGGCTTGTGTGTAAGTAATTGTGATTGAGTATGTGACTATCATGTCGTGTGTGCGAGTTGGATAGTAATGGTGTGTTTACGAGGGTGAGTGTGTGTGGGTGTGTGAGTATCGTGGTGAGGATGTGAGTGATGGTATGTGACAGTGTGAGTTTGATGGTGATTGTATCATGGTGAGTGCAAGCAATACTGTGAGTTTGACTTATTTGCCCCCCCTCCCTTTACCCACTACCCACTCTTCCTTCCTCTTCCTCTCTCCCCCCACTCTCCCCACCCCCTCTACCTCCCTCTCTTTCCCTGCCTCTCTATCCCTCTCCTTTCTCCCGTAACTACCTTGCCTGTAATACAAGAGGTCGTGGGTTCGATCCCTACCCTCACACCTGCTAGATATTTTGAGTTTGCGTGTCTCTCTCTCCCTGTGGTCGCGTTCAGAGTGTTTGGTTTCTATAAATGTCGACGTGATGATAAGCCACTTCGTTGACCTATAATTTTTGGCCTTTTCCCTTGTGTAGAAGAGCTGTGTAGCTCGGTGGGCCTTACCCGGTAAAATATAAATAGTTTAGTTTCCTCTCTTCCTCCTCCCTTCCTCCCTCTCCACACCCCCTACCCTCCAGCACAACAACAAGAAGCAGGAGGAGGAAGGTTTGTCTCCCAAGCCGAGCGCTTCCGGGTCCACCTTCATGATCCTCCCTCTGCCCCAGGGTGGAAAGATCCCCTGGCACAGGGTTACGGTATCCCACCCACATACACACAGGGTTACGGTACCCCACCCACATACGCACAGGGGTACGGTGCCCCCGTCACATATAAGCACAGGGGTACGGTGCCCTCGCCACACATCCGCACAGGGGTACGGTACCCCCTACTCACATGCCAGGCTATGTGCACCACACAGAGACCCAAAGACTCGCACATAGATCCATAGACTTACACAGACCCATAGACTCACACAGAGACCCAAAACTCACACATAGATCCATAGACTTACATAGACTTATTGACTCACACAGAAACCAATTAGCTCAAACAAAGACCCGTTGAAACACAGACAATATACTTACACAAAGGCCCATAGACTCACACAGACTAATCCACTTACTCACCCACTCGTGCACCCACCTACTCAACGACTCACAAGCCTACTCGCTCACCCAATCCCTCACCTATTCACTCAGCCACTCACTCAGAAACTCACTCAGAAACTCACTCAAGAACTCGCTCACCATTTTACCCACCCACTTGCTCACCCACTCAAGCACCCACTCACAGAATCACTCATAAATTCACCCACTCAGACGCTCAGAAACTTACTCACAAAATCATTACCCACTCACTCATGCCCTCACTCGCCCACTTACCCATGCGCGCACAGATTCGCCGACTTTCTTCGCTCAGAGACTCCCTCTCTGATAGACTCGCTCATAGACTCACTCGCTCACAGACTCACTCAGAAGCTCTCACCCACTAACTTATTCAGAAACTCACTCAACCACCGACCCACTTACTTAAAAACTACCTCACTCATCCGCACTCACTCACTGACCTACTTACTCATCCACTCGCCCAGCCACTCACTGAACAACTGACTCACTCACAGAATCGCTCACTCATCCACTCACTCCGAAACTCATTCATCCACCCACCGACTCACTCGCAACCATTAACTCGCCCACTCAATAATTTCACCCATTCATTTATTCATCCACTTACTCATCCACTCACTCAATCACCCACTCACTCATTCAACAACCCACTCACTTGGAGACTCTCTCTCACCCACTCACTTACCTACTCGTTCACTCTATCAGCCACTCTTTCAGAAACTCACTCACCCACACAATCGATCAACAGCTCACATACTCAATCACGCACCCACCCACCCACACACTCATTCACCCACTTACCTATCCACTCTTCCACTCATTCAATCACCCACTCCCTTAACCACGAACTCAGAATATCACTCACCCACTCACCCTCCCAATAATTTCATCACTCACTCACGCACTCACTCCATCAGTCACTCACCCACTCACTCATCCACTTAATCAATAACCCGCTTATTCACTTTCTCACTCACTCACAAACTCGCTCATCTTCTTGCTCAATTAGTCACTCACTCACTTACCCACATTTTCCCATTTATTCCTTCCTTCACTTCCTCATTCAGCAACTTCGCCAATGATTAACTTATTTATTCACTCAATCACATATCCACTCACTCACCTAGTCACCCATCCACCCAATCACTGAGAAACTCACTCACCCACTCAATTAGCCATTCACTGACCCACTCACTCACTAACTCACTCAGAAATGCACTCACCCACCCACTCATTTATCAATTCATCCACTCTTTCACCTACTCACCCACTCACACACAAATGTACACACTCACTAACCCACTCCCTCACCTACTCACTCACCTACTCACTCATCCACTCGCTCAACCGCTCACTCACAGATAGACTCTCTCATCCACCAATTCTCACTAGGTCACCCACTCATCTACTCAATAATTCACCCACCCACAAACGCACACACAAAAACACACACAAACATAAAGAACCACGGAACAAAGATAAAGATCCCCCATATAGCCATAACAGACCGTTGGGGCAAATGCTGTTAGCAAGCACCTATGAAAGCCAGCATGGAACACGAGGGGCTGGGTGGCCAGCACCACGCACGGCCAACTTCGTCTCCCTAGTGGTGAGGTGTGTGCACATCACCACTAGGGAGACGAAGTTGGCCGTAGGTCAACACAGCCTCAAATGAGTGCCTGGTGATGTGCACACACCTCACCAGACACTCATTTGAGGCTGTGTTGACCTACGGGATGCCTGGTTCAGATAATCGTCACCAGTGTTGGCCATTAGATGGAATCAAACCTGGGTCGTCAAGTTCGTAGTGCAGAACACTAACCGCTATACTACACAATCACTCTCACAAGCTCACTCTCTCTCACAAGCTCACTCACTCTCACAAGCTCACTCACTCTCACAAACTCACTCCCACATGCTCACTCACTCCCACATGCTCACTCACACTCACAAGCTCACTCACACTCACAAGCTCACTCACTCTCACAAACGCACTCACTCCCACATGCTCACTCACACTCACAAACTCCCTCACTCTCACAAGCTCACTCACTCTCACAAACTCACTCGCTCTCACAAACTCACTCGCTCTCACAAACTCACTCACTCCCACATGCTCACTCGCTCTCACAAACTCACTCTCACAAGCTCACTCACTCTCACAAGCTCACTCACTCTCACAAACTCAACCTCACACAAACTTACTCTGACTCACTAACTCTCACACAAACAAAGTCAAATACATTCCCCGTTTGAGATTCCATTTTAGCCTGAAGAGACTGTTGGGGAATGTGCTGTTAGCGTGCACCTATGAAGACCGAATCAGCACACTCAGGAGTGGGTGGCTTTAGAGTTCAATGTTACTCACTGGGGCTTCCATAGAGTTCGGTGTTAATCATTTGGTCACCCATGAAGTTCAGTGTTAATCACTGGGGCTTCCATAGAGTTCAGTGTTGCTCATTGAGGCTCCAATAGGATGAAGTTTAATCACTGGGTCTCCCATAGGGTTGAGTGTTGCTCACTGGGTCTCCCATAGGGTTGAGTGTTACTCACTGGGTCTCCCATAGAGTTCAGTGTTACTCACTGGGGCTCCTATAGGATTCAGTGTTACTCACTGGGAATCCAATAGGGTTCGTGTGTTAATCACTGGGTATCCAAAATAATTCAGTGTTACTCACTGGGTCTCCCATAGGGTTGAGTGTTACTCACTGGGTCTCCCATAGAGTTCAGTGTTACTCACTGGGGCTCCTATAGGATTCAGTGTTACTCACTGGGAATCTAATAGGGTTCGTGTGTTAATCACTGGGTATCCAAAATAATTCAGTGTTAATCACAGGGTCTCCCATAAGATTCAGTGTTAATCACTGAGTCTCCCATAGGGTTGAGTGTTAATCACTGGGGTTCCCATAGGGTTGAGTGTTAATCACTGGGTCTCCCATAGGGTTCAGTGTTAATCACTGGGGCTCACATAGTGTTCAGTGTTCATCATGGGGTCTCCCATAGGGTTCGTGTTAATCACAGACCCATAGATTCCTAAAACCCTAACCCTATAAACACCTAAGCCTCTATACCCCTAAGCCTCTAAACCTCTAACCCTCTAAACCCCTATACTCCGAAAACCATAACCCTCTAATCCCCTTCACCCTTCACACCATAACTTTCTAAGCCCTTTAACCCTTAAACCCCTCACCCTCTAAACTCCTCACCCTCTAAACCCCTATGCCTCTAAATCCAACCCCCTAACCCTTTGAACCCCTAACTTTCTAAACCCTTAAAAAACAAATTCTCTAAATCGCTAACGCTCTAAACCTCTTTACCTTTGAAAACCCTAAACCTCTAAACCCCTCACCCTCTAAGCCCCTAACCCTCTGAACCCAAACCCCTAACTCTTTGAGCCCCTAACTTTCTAAACCCTTAAAAACCAAACCCTCTAAAACCCTAACCCTCGAAACCCATATCGTTCTAAAGCGTAACCTTCAGAACCCTTAACCCTGTAAACCTCGAAACCTTAACGTTCTACAACCCTAAATCCCTAACCTAAGTCCCAACCCATCTAAACCCCAACCCTCTCAACATCTAACTAACCCCTAATGCTCTAAACACCTAACCTTCGAAATCCCAACCTTCTAAACCTCTAAAAACCCTAAAACCCAAACCCTCTAAACACGTAACCCTCTAATCCCCTCACTGTTTAAACCCCTATACCCCTACAACCCAAACCCTAAACACCCCCTAACCCTCAAACCCTTATACCACTAAACCCGTAACCCTCTAAACCCCCAACTCTCCAATCCCATAATAAACGCTTTTTTTGCGGTAAGATCGTGTAAATATAAATGTCTTAAAACCCGTCACCTCCCGACACAGCCAATTAATAAAGTTTGTCACGTGAACAAAAGTGCCAATTAGTTTCTACTTTGGCACATCGGTGTGTTGGAGACTAACCCAAATAAACCTTTATTATGGATAACGCCTCAACCCCATAACTCCCCCTGCGCCACCCCCCATGTCCCCCTCACCCCCCACACCCCCCTCGCCACCTCGCCTCCCCCCCCCTCCCCCCGCAGCGACTTCCGCTGAGGCCGGGGCGAGTGGAGGCGGTGCTGTGCATTGTGGGTGGCGAGAGGCTGATTTGGATTCCCTCTCACGGCCACCGTCGGTGACTCGCGAGCTTCTAAAGTGGCGACTCGCTGGCTGGGCCTCCTCTACGTCGACTCAGCCCGAAGAAGGTGAGAAGCTTGCACGGTGTGGACACAGCAACAGTGGCGGTGGTGGGGGGGGAGACAAAGGAGGCACCTGGCCCACAGGTGCCTCCTTTGTCTCACTCCCCCCGTGTCTCCCTCCTCTCTCTCCCCGTGTCTCCCTCCTCTCTCTCCCCATGGTAGGGGTGTGTTTTTGAGGGTGAGTGTGTGAGTGTGTGAGTATCATGGTGAGTGTGTGGGTGTGTGAGTATCATGGTGAATGTGTACATGTGTGTTAGATGGCTGGCAATGTTGATGGGTAGTGATGATGATGATGATGCAAGCCTTGTGCTAGAGAATGGCACACTGAAACTAATATCACGTAGCTACTTCTGAGTACCCTTCAAGTACTGTCTGGTCCACATCGTAAAGGGCAGGACTTTCCCACCTGTTCTTCATTTAAGAGCAACGTTGGTCTCAACAATGTTGGTACTTCTTACAGCTGGAATTTATCCTAAGTACATCGAGAACCACATTGCAGCCATGTGATAGTTTGTTGTGCAGTGAATGAAGACCGGGCTGAGACCATTAACTTGCTAGACTTGAGAATCTGCTTTGATCACAGGCTGCTGCCTGGATTCAAACCCAGGTACACCGTGGTGCCAATTCAGTACTTTGACCACTAGGTCCATGGGCCGCCTCTAAACATCCCCCACGTTAAAGACATAAGCAGCAACCTGTTTAGTGAGCAGCAGCATTCTTTGAATATTTTGCCAAAGCAATTGGGATTGTGGAGCAGTGGCACAGTCCTGCATTTGCTTTCTCTTTAATCCACCAAACGCAACTTGCCGCTCGATTGTTGCGCACCCATTTTCACTGGTTGGTGCACAGAGGCAGGTCGATTTAAGATACTCAATCATTTGTTTCAACTGCTGTGGCAGATGGTGGAGCAGAGGGGCAGTGGAGTGGTGGGGCAGTGTAGCAGTTTGGCAGAGGAGGGGCGGATTTGTCGGGAAGAAGGCGAATCACCTGAATGTTTTCCCACCACCGCTTGTATGTGCTATGAAGAAGAACCATTTCATAAAACGTCTCTTATTATCTATTTGTCCTTGTACCGCCGCAAACATAGCCGGGATACCGCACACACGAGCCAAGGCACATTTAACCAACCCAGGCTGCACTCACAAGCAATGCAACGTTACGTTGTGTCCTCATGGGTTGATTTCACAAAGTTTATAGTAACACCAACAACAAATATATTGATCCTAAATCTTAACAGGGTGGCCTTGAGACTTGGCACGTGCAGGTTTTGTTCATTGTCTGCACCAGACCCCTCCAGCTCTCTCACCCTGGGTCAGCTGCCCCTTCCATGTCCTGGAAAATATGGCAAGGTCATCCCATGAGGACTGCCTGGATGAAAACCCGCATGGAAGGTGCCCAGTGTGGGGACGGCTATGCTAATGGAATAGTCCCGTGTGTATGTGTGATGTGAGGTGTCCTGATAGCAGTCAATCTCCCCTGTAGTCCTGACATCTTCTGCTCAGCTTCATTCCCCAGCTGTGGTCACAGTGGCACAGTCTCTCTGGGGAACTGTGCGGTGTGTGTGTGTGGTGTGTGTCACGGGGTGGGTGGGTCGTATGGTGATGGCGGTCATTGTTGGCACCGATCCACGACCACCACCACCACGCCTACTGGGCGGTGGACCTGCCTCCACAAAGCAGCACATGGCGGAGGAGTGAGGTGAACGCTGTCGTCACGCGAGCGAGGCCCCCTCGCTTCCTCTTGTTTTTGTGCATCTCCACCTGCACCTCCTCCATCTTCTCCTCCTGTCTCATCCTCCTCCATCCCCTCCTCTTCATCCTCCACCACCATCTTCTCCCCCTTCTCTGTTTTCTCCGTTCTCTCCTCCTCATCCTCCTCATCCTCCTTGTCCTCGGAGGTGGTAGAGGTGGTGGTGGAAGCAGCGGTGGTGGCGGAGGTGGTGGAGGTGATAGCGGTGGAGGTGATAGCGGTGGTAGCCGTGGTGACGGTGGTGTTTGCCATGGTGGTGGCTGTGATGGCGGTGGCGGAGGTGGCAGTGGTGGTGGTGGCGGTAGTGTCAGTTGCAGTGGTAGCGGCAGAGGTGGTGGTTGCTGCGGTGGTGTTGGCTGTGGCGCCACCTCTGTCTTCTCCATCTTCTCTGCCTCCACCACCACCATTGTTTCCGCTTTGTCCGTCGTCTCCATCTCCTCCACCACGACCATCTGTTCATCCTTTGTTGTCTCCTTGCCTTCCGTCTCCGTATTGTCTTTATCCTCTTCCTCCGTGTTCTCCTCCATTGTCACCATCACAATCTCGTCCTCTTTTGCCTTCTCTTCCTCCGATTTCTCCTCCTCCGTCTCTACCTCATCCTCCATCATCTCCTCCACCTCTTCTCTCGACTCCTCCACAACCTCTGACTTCAATTCAAATGCCTGGAGGAGTGAGGAGGAGGGCTGCGCTGGCTCAGATCAGTGAAGAGACAAACACGACACCGTTTCACCTTCCTGCTACGGCAGACATCGCCATCTCCCCATCCGTGGGTGGAATGTGTGGTGGATTCATTCGAGCTTAATATAAACAGCAGTAACGACATGGCCAGTGAGTGTGCTTGGTATTGGCGCTGCCATTCTCATGGGACAAGGCTATCCTTGAGATAGGTGCAGCTGTGTCTCACACAGACTGTTGTAGTTTCACAGTAGTGGGTGGCGTTGCTGTGTAAATTTAGCTGATTCATTTTTAGTGATATTTTTATGTGTCATTCTCCCCTTGGACATAGTGGCCAAGGTGGAGATCCTGAACATCCGCTGTGACGGAATGGGTGTGTATCTTTGTGGTTAATGCAGCGGCAGTAATAACCAGGGCGGGAAGCAAGATCTGAACTGTAAGCGGTGAGCGATGAGTGTGCGACCCTTTGGCTGCTTCAACCCATCCAAAGATTTCGAATAAATATCCGACAGTGATTTGAGGTCGACAAAGCCGCCTCCCTTGACGTCAAAGGCATCTCAGAGTGCATTGAACGCGATGAGCCACTCACATTTCGCATCTCAACGCATTTGAAATTGGACACCCCTCCCAGTGGTAGCTGTCTCTGTGCATTCCAAGGCAACTTGGCAGCTGGCCTGGAAACAGGCATCAGTCTGCCAAAATATCACGGTGGATGGAGGATTAAATGGTGAAATATGGACGCATCGTGATGTGGTCTCACTCAGAAACCAATTATGGAAAATAAATCTGTCCACAGTATGGCGGAATGTACACGTGGGGTTTGCAGTGTCTGTGCATTTTGGAAATACAGCAAGGCTGGAGCACCTGTGCCTCACAGCAAAAGGGACCTGGGTTTGATTCCCACGTTGGGCCACATTATCTGTGTGGATTGTGCTGAGCCCTGTTCTGGGAGGATTCTGCAGCTTTTTCCCTGTAACTGAACCCACACAAGCAATGCAAATCGCTCAATTTGGATCACAAACAGTAGCAACTTTGTTACCAACTGCGAGAAAACTTGACAGGACCCTCCTGAAAAAAAGTCTTAAGACGTAGTGAGGCTCATCCTGCGTAAACAAGCATGATAATAAATAAAAATAAACACAGGACACACGCAGAGTGGTTTACCGTGGCTCAGCGGCTCCAGAATTTGCTTTCTCTTCTAGGAAGCCCTCTTCTCCAAAGCTCGGAGCAATCAGGCCCTGCACAGGAGTGGTGGTGGCGGTGGTGGCTGCAGTGTTGGCGGAAGCGGTGGTGGCGTTGCCGGTGTCAGCGGTGGTGCTGCTGCTACTGGTGGTGGTAGCGGTCTGGAGCCAGTGTTGCTCGATCTTGGCGAGGCGCTGCTCCTCCATGAGGCGCTTCTCTTCCTTGACCCGCTTCACTTCTATGAGGCGCTTCTGCTCATCGACACACTTCTCAATGGCGAGGCGCTTCACCTCAGCAAGGTAATTTACCCTGGCGAGACGCTTCTCCAGATGCTTGTCCTCGAGACGCTTCACGTCGCCAAGGCGTATTCGCTCCATGAAGCACGTTTCACGTCATTGAGGATATTGTTTCAAAGGCACTAATGCTCTGTGAGGTGCTTCACCTTGGCGAGGCGCTTCACCTCAATGGGGCACTTCTCTTCCATTATGCGCTCTTCCGCAAAGCGCTTCTTGAGATGGTTCTCCTCCTGGAGATGCTTCACTTCTGCGAGGTACTTCACCCTGGAGAGACGCTTCTCCTCCAGATGCTTCTCCTTGAGACGCTTCACCCCGCAGAGCCGCTTCTCCTGTATGAAGCGCTTCTCCTCAATGACACGCTTTTCCATGAGGCGGTTCTTGAGGAGATTGTCTCTCAGGCACTTCTCCTCTGGGAGATGCTTCACCCTGGCAAGGCGCTTCATCTCAATCAGGCAGTCCTTTTCCATGGTGCGTTTCTCCTTCGCAAGGCGCTTGTCCTCTGGACACGCTTCACCCCGCTGAAGCTCTTCACCTCCCCAATGCTCCTCTGTTCACGCGAAGATAAGCACAGGACCGTTCAGACACGCACACGCAGGACAAAATTCATACTCCCAGGCACGCAAACATGGACGGGCACATACACAAATAAAAATGCATACTCCCACATCTATGGACGGATGCAAACATGAACATTTAAAGCTTTCGTGACTGCAAGGATTCATCTTATTTGGTTCTTTAGGTAAAGTCACGTAGAATGAGAATAAAATAATAAATTGATAAAATAAAATAACACAATAAAATTCTCACGACGTTTCGGCCACAACACAAGCGGCCTTCATCAGGTCAAGGCGCTCTGTTTCTTCTCACACAGCTTAAAGGTTGCAGTCTGGGCTTGGCTGTGTTCGCTCCAGCGCTGTCCTCCAGACAGTCTCGTCCCTTCACCTGATGAAGGCCGCTTGTGTTGTGGCCGAAACGTCGTGAGAATTTTATTGTGTTATTTTATTTTATCAATTTATTAGTTTATTCTCATTCTACGTGATTTTACCGAAAGAACCAAAGAAGATGAACATTTACTCATGAAAATATGCTAGAACACATGAATATACACCATCACCTAATGTTATCAAAGTACATGTTACATCAGTTTAACACATAGGCTTTCTTGACCAATATTTATAATAAAGGTTTTTGAGTTAGATCACGTTACTTATAAATGT